CCAAAATAATTTAGTAATAATCAGTAGAATTTATGTGCCAAAAATTTAAACTAGGTTTGGCTTTCATAGGTCTTGTTAGATCATGAAATATCTCCGTTTTATTTTATTGTGACTAAATGCATGAGGAATGTGACTTGTATTTCCTTGTACATGTTGATCAGGAGACTGGGAAGACATTTGTTCTTAAGCATTCTTTCTATTGAGCCAAATCTGACTATACATAGTACAGACAATTTGTTTATTTGGTTTCTGATGATAGATGTCTGCAAACTAATATACCTTTTTTTGATATTATAGGTTCAGTCGGCAATGTGTTGTTGACAAGGACAAAAGAAGTCAATGTAGATATTGTCGATTAAGAAAGTGTTTTAGAGCAGGAATGAAAAAAGAAAGTAATAACATTTAATAATAATATTTAATAATAAAAGTGTTTTGCATACACATTCTCTTTTAACCACAAAAACTTTTCACAAGAATTCTGATTTTCCTCAGCTTTTCTCAGTAAAGAATGTAAGGTTCTTGAATGAATTTACCCATGGATACTGGCCCCCAGCTAACAACTAGTGGAGCCAGTCTTCAGCTGATGGCTCTCTGATTCCAGATACACTTCTCCCTACCACTCCCTTATCCCTGGCAACAAAATTATTATCGAAATAATATTCCAATATCTGTTCAAAGGAGCATAGCAAAATAATAAAAGCATTTCACCACATTTTTATTCTTAGTAACAGTTGAATGTCATTATGCATTCCATAAGTATTTACTGAACATTGACTTTTTATGCACTCATTCACTTAACATGTATAAATAATTCCTAATTCCTAGACACTATTCTTAATGCTGAGGTTTCAGAAGTGAACATGAAAGATAAAATAACCACTCCCCTCAGGGAGGGAGTGTAGATCTCATTCAAGGACAGTGACAAAATAATATGTACTCTATTTTAGATTGTATTAACTTCATTTTAAATATATTAAATATTCTGATGTGTTATTCTATATTCTAAAAATACTTAATCTAGAACCAATGTATTAAACACATTTAAGTGTTTGGCAGGGAAATAGTTATAAGATTTGAAGTTTATCCATTTTGCAACATCCTGTGACTATAGTATACAAAGATTTTTTCAGAACTGTCTCACAAACTATATCGAAAGCAAAATAAGTCACTATACCTAAATGTGAAATATCAAATCTTTCTTGAACATTGCTAGCTTTTTTCTTTGTGGTGCAATATTTTTAAAAGTTAAGAATTTCATTAATTTTTTCAGCTAGCTAGCTCAAAAAGAAGGCAAAAAAAGTTCAGCAAATTAAAGAAGCATATTTTCATTTCAAAATGACATTTCTAATGGCATATCCATTAGTTTACGGAATGCACTACCTACTTTCTCAATCATTTCATTGTTTTATCTTAATGTCAGCTTCATGCCTACAAAAGTATAAGCGAATTACAACTTCATATTTTTTGAGTTTTAAACTTTCTGAATTAAGATTATTTTCATAACTAGTGACAATGTATTTTCTACTATTCATTAATTTTTCCTAAGTACATTAGAAAATATCTTTGGGTTTCAAAGTAGATATATTTTTCTTATTTACAGTAATAGCATAAAAACAGATTAGTTAGATGGAAACATATAAAAATGGTTTTATGTCAAAAATGATAACAGTTATATTATAAATGCTCAAAATATCTTTTAACATTTTTCTAGAGATAGATAATATAAATGAGATTCACAAAAGCATAACTTATATTTCATTTCTTATCTCCACATATGCATTTCTCTATTTGTCATTTTGGGCTGGAAATCAATGGCAATTTCTGCAAAA